AGCACTGACCGCGGGCGCAGGGCCTGCCGCCGCCGCCCGCTGCGCGGTTCCGATCCAGTTGCGCCACTGCGAGCGTCACTGGTGGGCTTGGTGTGCGTTAACTGGGGCCACCGCACTTCCCAGGGTAGCGTCTCGCACGCCGTCGTGGTGGTTTTGAACGCGTGGGTGCTGCTGGCGGGGGTATATGGTGCTTCGAAGTGCCCTATAGAATATCACCTGCTTGAGGTTTTTATAGATTTGTACCGCTTACCTTAACCGGGCTGTTTAATTTAAATAACTTGAATATGTTTTACTGTATTCCCCAATGCACAGCAGAAACCTGGGAGGCAGTCGTCTGACTGTCTGTAATATCGCCCTATAATCCTTGATGCCTGTTGGCTTTGATGTAGACGGTATCTCATCTCAGCAGTCTGTCTGTAGTAGAGAATAACAAGCAGAGATTAACTGTCAGAAACCTAGCAACGTGGGAGCACGTAAAAATATCCCAAACCATTGCCTCTCATCCCATATTATAAATGTCAATTTACGTTGACTTTTTGACATGAATGTCAGAAGTGCCTTTGAACACTCACTTCGAGTCTGTGGTGAACCTTCGTGGGACTCGTTTCCTACTGCAGCCGGTGTTTATGGTGACATTACGGCCTGTTGGAATGATGCTGTGGCCATTCAGAGAACGACTGTGTTTTCCCAAGAGCTGTCTGCTCAGGACACCCTCCCCTCTGAGTGCACCAGGCTTCCAAAGTGACTGTCCATCGTCTCTTTGCACGATTTTATCAACTGTGATACAGTAGAAAGGCTGTTCTGTCACAAACAGTTTAGGAAATTTGGGATAGATATCTGTGTGTTCATTGGCACTCAGTTGGTTTAAAAGATCATCTCTGCAGTCATAAGGACTTTTTTAAAATAAATGACAACTTATTTTCTGCAGTAGAAGGCAGCATTTAAAGCATGTTTCCTGGTCACCCTACCACAGCACTGGATCCCAGTACACTTCCATGTTAGTGCAGATGTTATTGGTGCTCTTCAACAGATACTAAAATATTTTTTCTTTAGGGAATGGTGGATCAACACTTCATGTTCTTCAATGCTTGGAAGATCTGTATGGCGATAAATGGACTTCTCTTACTGTGCTGCTGATTCATTCTGGTACAGTCTGGTTTACATTTCATACTCTAAAGTTATACCTCTTTTTTTTTTCTAAAAATAGTATGATGGCAGATAAGCAGACAGAGTTCTAAAATACAGCTCCCTCAGAAAAGTAGTCCCGAATGTATCTGATCTGGTCATTCAAATTTAGATTGGTCCTTAGGAGATACTCCTGTCACTTAAGCATTTCTTCTCAGCAATTAAGTCGTTCGGTCAAACGACTGGAGAAAGTGGAGAAGGACGTGTAATTCAGAGTATCCGAATCAAGCTTCGGCCTTGACACACCCATTCAAGGCACGTGGCCCTCTCTGCGGGGGACCTGGGGGTCCTGGTAACTCCAGGCAGACGGAATACTCACCACTCATCTGCTTAGGCAGAACACCTCCAACAGGGACATCCGTTTTGCAAGGAGAAAGAAACCAGGTCATAACAAGTCACCTGAGCAAACCACGGCTTCTTTGGCTTATCTCTGACTTGAAATTCCTGGAGGAGGGTGGGGTCCCCCTTTTTTTCACGCGAAAAGCAGACATCGTTTGCCGCCTTCACTTTAGTTGTAGACAAATGGTCCGTATTCCAGCTCTGAAGCAAACTAAAGGTAGTGAAACCAAACACAACTTTGATATCAGCTATTTAAGGCATGCTGAAGTTTGAGCACAAGATCAGATCTGCTTTGAGAAATGTTTGAAGGATTAATGATTTTTTTTTTTACATCTGTCATTTCTTGAGGAATACTTAGTATATCACGAAGCTGGGTTCGTTTTTTTATACCTTTGTGTAGATGTAAAACGGCTGTATAGGTTTAGTTTTTGCTTACTTAAACACAATGTCTCTGCATAATTAAAAGTGTCTTTTTCTTCAAGGTGGTTACAGTCAACGTTTGCCAAACGCGAGTGCACTGGGAAAGATTTTCACAGCTTTGCCTTTTGGTGATCCCGTTTACCAGATGTTGGAGCTGAAGCTTGCCATGTACATTGATTTCCCCAGTCGCATGAAGCCAGGAATTCTCGTTACGTGTTCGGATGACATAGAACTTTACAGCACTGGAGTTACAGAAACCGTCACGTTTGATAAACCCGGATTTACTGCATTAGCTCACCCTTCAGACGTGACAGTGGGGACCACTCACGGAGTGTTTGTTTTGGATCCATCCAGTTTTTCAGGAAAAGGAGGACTCGAATACACATCTTGCCATCATTTCCTGCACAAGCCTGATGTTGAGACGATGCGCCAGCGCGGCGCAGTGTGCGTACGAGGGAATTGTTCCCAGCTCGGTTCCTCTGGAGACCACAGGGGCTCAGGAACGGACTCGGGCTGTGTGTATACAGACAGTATATTTTACATGGATCATAGCACTGCAAAACGATTACTGACATTTTATAAGCAAATGGGCACTCTTTGCTGCGAAATAGATGCATATGGCGACTTCCTCCAGGCCCTGGGGCCGGGAGCCACTCAAGATTACACAAAAAATACAAGTAACGTCACGAAAGAGGCATCACGATCAGTAGAAGTGCGGCAGAAGCTCTACTCCCTTCTGAAAGGAACTACGTTTAATGTTATAGTCTTGCACAACTCGAAGTTCTATCACATTGGAACTACTCAGGAGTATTTGTTTCATTTTACATCCGACAGCAAACTGAGATTTGAGCTTGATTTACAGTCTGTGGCTTTCAGCATCGCTTCGGACCAAGCCGAGCCCTCGGATGGCTCGGCGAGTGTCATTCAGAGCGTGCTCGAGCCCGGGTGTTGCATAGGGGCTGGATCCGTCATCGAATACTCGAGAATCGGGCCTGAAGTCTCCGTAGGGAAGAACAGCATTATTAGTGGGTCGTACATAAATGTGGAAGTAGACATACCTTCAAACTGTTTTCTGAGCTCATTAAGTGTAAAAATCAACAATCAAGTCAAGTATGTAAGTATGGTGTTTAGTGTAGAAGACGACTTGAAGAAGAGTGTGAAATCGTTGTCAGATATACATTCACTCCAGTTTTTCGGAACCAGCTTACTGGAATGCCTGGACCTCTGGGGTGTAAAGGCATCAGACCAGCTCTTCTCCAGTGAGAACGCAGGTTTGGGGTTGTGGACTGCCAGGGTTTTTCCTGTGTGTTCTACTTTAAGTGAATCGGTTAGAATGTCATTAGAAATGTTAAATTCTGTGCAGCGCATGTCAGCTTTTAAACTGAATGGCTTCCAGCTCTTGTCCGTTGAAGAAATGCTCTCCTACAAGGATGTAGAGGACATGTTGAAGTTTAGGAAGCAAATTTATGATGAAATCCATCTACAGAGACAAAAAGAGAAGCCTGATTTGTAGAATGTACAGTACTTGATCAGATTTCCAGTTTTCATTTGTGGATGATTGATTACTTCCCATCTGGTAAAAATCATGAGGAAAAAAGTGCACAGATTTTTTCTCTGATTTCATTGAAGTAGAAACAATGAAATTGCATTAATAATATTGTTGTAGCGTAACATTAATAATGCAGCAAATGCAGATAAACTATTCTTTTGATGAAAGAATTAAGTATTTTAGATCTCTGAAAACACTAATTGGTGACTTTTCTTGGGGTGCATGTTATTATGTTTTGTAGTCTTTGTCAGTAACAATATGATACAGAACAAATTAATTAGAAATTTGACTGAAAACTGCTTTAAAGGTTTTTTAAAGTAGAACATTAGCTCCAGCAACATGGAATGATATAGCAGTAACTTCTGTTTCTGTCTCTCCATGCTGCCTTTTTACAGTTGTGTTTCAAATAGATAGAGATAAATTTTTTAAAAGTACTTTTTAAAATAAAGTCATCCTGTCTTAAGCATTAATCATTTTCTTTCTCTGTTTTTTTTTTCTTTTTGTAATTTTTTTATGCTTTCTTGTCACTCTTGCACTTGTGACTAATAATATTGGGGTCAAAACCTGGCATCAAGACATACTGATTTCATTTTTTTTACTGTTAGTCATTTGGAAGCTGGTAGTTTGATTTCCAGCTACCAAGTTTTGTTATCCACGGATTGATATGTGCCACCTGAAAACCTACATTTCGTACATCTCTGAACTGAACTGCCAGAGTCCTTGGAGTGATGCTTAACCCTCATGCAGACCAGTGGAGCAAACAACAGAGGTTGACTGTCGTGAGTGGTACCAAGGTGCACATCTTCAGAGAAACACACACTATCTGTTCTCCCTTCCCCTTCTCCACCCTTCACTGAAAAAGGTGCCTAGTTTAGGTAGCAGATGCATAAGTATGCTTTCTATGCTTTCTGTTCTGGCCTGATCAAAAAGGAAAGTGCCTTTTTTACGTGTACAACTTTAAATGTACTTTTCTCTGTTCCCTCTTCCCTGCCCCCCTTTTTCAAAGCTACAGGAAGTGTCATGCTAGGTCACGCCAGCACCCTGTTAGCCCTGTCTTCTGTCCCAGGCTGTGGCACCACCAAGGTGCTGTGCAGGGACAGCATGAGCCTAGCCACTTCTGGGATCTGCTGTGTTCTCAACAGCTCAGTACATAAGCAGTGAGTATGTACTTCAGTGCTACGAGGTGGAAAAATCTTGTTCACACTAAGTTTATATTCAGATACCTCAAATGATTTATTTTTAATTTTGCTTCTATAATGTCTGCATTTTTAGTTTTCCTATTTCATGCATCTTTTTCTCTTGCATCTTTTTCTCTTGCTTTTATCTGTGGGTTTTCATGTTTTATGTAATGTTTCTTTATAACAGTGTTTATCTCCCTACTGACTGAATTTCCTAATGGCATCTTTCTTATGCCACTTACAAGGTAGTAGTGTAATATCTTCTGAATATTACCCGAGCTGGTTTAACCTTCACCAAGTTTCTTCCTCATTGATAAAGAAGCCTTTCAGGAGACATAGTGTTTGTCCTGCGGATCTCTCTGAGCAAGAAGCAATACAAAGGAGCTAGGCATGGAGGTTGGGAATTGCTGAGGTCGACTTCAGAGGAATAAGGACAGTTTCTGAGCAACTAGAGGTTTTAGAAGTCATTATAAAATACTAATTGAACAACAGAAACAGCGGTAGATTTGAGAACATTAAGGTCCAAGACAAACGCATAAAGTCACAAGGTAAAAATAGTCGTAGAACATGAAGCATGAAATTGTGGTTTGTATGTCATCCTGTTTGCATAATCTATTCATCTATTGTTAGAGCATACAAAATGTTTTGGGAAAAACAAATGTTTGGTGTAGACTTTGCGTCTTCAATTGGAGACCAAACTTGGTTCTGAATCATTGCTTTACTGCCAGACAAGCTTTCTGGATGTTTAGTTACAGGACAACGAAGTTGCATTCTTTTAACATGATTATTCGCTTTAACTGTTACGGTTGCATTTATTCTAAATTCCCGAAATACTATGTATTGATTTCATTACTGAAAGCAATCTGGATATAAATAGAGAACGGATTTGCTTCTCACGCATAAGTAATGGAAAAAAAGAGTGAGGAAAAGCATCCTGACCAAACGATTTTCAGAAAGTGTTGGGGTAGACTTGATCAAATAGCAGCTGCTATGATCTTGGAAGCAGTGTTCTTCTGAGAGAGTTAAGGAAAAATAAAAAAAAAAAAGAGAAAAAAAAAAAAAGAGTGGAATCCTGGTTGTAGTCTTAGTCTGCCATGCCCGGCACCTGGGTCAGCAGCCTGCCTCAGGCTCTGTCAGTCCACCAAGTGCACAAGGAAAGGTAAGAGAGACTTCTTGCAGTATTTCTCAGGTTTTCTTTCCTGGCATGCTGCTGTCCTGTCTGTCCTGCCCTGGACTGCTCAGACGTGCTGGCCCAGCTGCAACCAGGATGGGCAAGAACTACTCCCACCCCTGCAGGAGGCAGTATCCGCTGGGACGCGCTGTCCATCACTGTGATTCGTCACCTAGCCGCTGTGTCAGAATGATCCAAGTTACTAGGAAATTCAGTGTTGCACAAAAACTCTGCCATGCTGTGTTGGAGAGTGACTCACACGGTTTGACAGGGCACTGGTCTCCACTGGTGCTCCCTTGGCCTCGACAGCCTGTGGGTCCGACGCAGACGCGGGCTCACGCTCGTGTGAGTGCTGTGAGCCCGGGGGGGGCTTGCTGGGGGCCACAGAGAAGCCTGGCACTTGCCATCAGCAACGCTCCTCTGAACCCCAGATGACCCAGTTCCCAGGTAGGTGCTGGAAGGCTCAGCTGTGCCTCTCCCCGAGGGCAGTAACACTTGCGCTGCGCTTAGTCCTGCTGTCCCGGATCTGAACGGGGAAAATTTCCATAAAGATGTGCCGAAAGTGTTCTTTGGGCTCGGCCCCAGAGAGCGTGGCTCTGCTGTCGGCAGTGCACGCACGACCTGCATCTCTGCACGCCTTGGAACACAACGTCCTTCCTGTTGGTGACCTTCCCTCCGCCGTGCAGTTCGTGCGGCGCGGCCCCCGAAGCCATCGCTTAAACAATGTCTGTGTTCAAACACTCCAACCGTGTGGTCAGACACTGCTTCCTTTGCAGCTCTTAAAGCGCGTGAGTGAGTTGAAGAGCTTGTGGCCAAACACCTCAGTGAGGAGCTGGAAATATTTTCTTAACCTTTGAATAAAGGCCTAAGGTACCTTGTTTTGCAAACCTGTGCAGCACGCGATGTCCGCTCTCATCTCACCATTCCTAGCCGTGTGTCAATGGATTGCCCTGTTGGGAAATGAAACATTTAGATCTTGAGGCAAAAAACAGCAAAAAAAAAATCTATCGTAATGGAATAAGCGTAGGTTTGATATACTAGGTAAGAAACATGAGACTCTGTTAAGTCTTTATTCCATTCCACACTTTTCCTTTTACACTAAATTATTTTTTTCTCAAATTTTAGAAAGCTGATTTTGCTCATTACTAGCTGTAGGTACTGTCAGCAAGCTTAATGAATTTATTCCACAGGCATTGAAATACCTGGATTTGTAAAACTCTTCATTTTTAAACTACAATCAAATTTAATGTAATATTTTGTTGAAAACATTTTCCCACGTGTTTTTATATCATGTAGGGTTATGTGTGTGCATGTTCACACACATATTCTGTAGATTCATTCTTGGACTCCACACTTAGGAATAAAAAGCTTCCACAGACTTCCACTGAGCCACAGGAAGCACGTGTTTGCCCATTAAATTTCTAATGCATCCATAATCCTTTGTGGTCTTTCTTACTATCAATAAGATTATCATCATTAAGTAAGAGATTGGAAAGTTTATGGAAGTATTCAGAGAAAATGGACCATGCCATAGAGAATGTTGGTGCGTGAAGATTGATAACGATATTGGCATCCATCTGTCAAGGGCCGGTGGAATTTAAAAATTAAAATGCACATCCATTGCATTTTGATGAATCCTTTGTTGAAAGGATTTGGTAGACGTGAGGCATATTTTTCTGCAGGCTTTTTTGTGAGTTCTAAATGCTGAAACGTGGCTTTACCCTGTCAAGCTACAGAAAGTAGCTGGGTTTGTTGTTTTTTCTGTATTGGCTTCAGAATAAAATCTGAAAACCTGGAATGAATACCCTATTTGATTGAAGTCACTGGGAGTTTTGCCCCTGGCAAAGCACGTTGATGGAGTAAATGTTTCTACGGTCCACCGGGCACAGGAGTCTCGAAGATGAAGAGGAAGAAGAGCTGCAGAGCTCTTGTGTGTATGCTGACGGCGAGTGCTGCAACCCTGCACGCGCCTGCCCAGCCTTCGCGGCCCTGCTGCAGCTGGCTGTGCAGCCCGGGAGCTCTGCTGGGCCCTGGCTGAGCCGGGGATGAGCGGGCACAGCAAGCCCTGGCGCTCAGAGCACAGCAGTGCTAGCAGGAACAGTCAGTCTGCAGTGGGTGTAATGTCATTGTTGAGCTAACACAGTGATGTTTCTGTCAAAAGAAGGAGAGGGAGAGAGGAAATGACAGATGAGCGAGTATTTGTATGTATGCTTGATGACACGTTTGAAAATTAATGTCTCTGTTTAGGCAGGAGATAAGTGCTGTCTGTATTGCAGCTGTTTATGAAGTGTGCGTGTTCTGTCGCTGTAACAAACTCCAGTCCTTACAACGAGGGCTCTGGTGTAGTGTGGTCAAACCTTGCAGAAATCGGAAAGACTTCAGACTGGACTTCCTCGCGATAACAATCTAAGGTAGACGTACACAATGCGTGTATGCGTTTTATTCGTATTGCACTTGGCAAACTTTCGCTCATCTTTCTTTTTCACAGTCTGCTGTTGAGGTAGACGACAACAATTTTCTCATGCAACCAGCTGGGATAAACCTGTCCCAAGGAAACCGAGAGACTTGTGCAAGGCCACACAGTAAAATTTAACAGCAAGATAACAGTCATTATG